ACGGGACGTGGTCGCTTACGAGAACTTAGAGCTGCATATTGGGTCAAAATGTTGCCTCATTAGCACATGGTAATTTTAAGACATTTAGGTCGTCTCTTTTAAGACTGATAGAGTACAGTGTATGTGCGTTTTATCTTTAAATTTTCAATGTTTTATTCGTGTAAAAATCAATTTCGAGAAAAAATCCGGTACTACCCAGGAATGCAATATTGTTACAACACCTTATTATCCAATTTTCGCACTATTATCTGTCAAGTGGTCGCTTACGGAAGGTTAAAAACAAAACAAAATTTCAAACTTTAAGCTCTAAAAGTGGTCGCGGTCGCTTACAAGAGGTGGTCGCTTACAGGAGGTGGTCGCTTACAAGAGGTTCTAAATATAGTGATTTCACTAGGAAACTTTTGGTATTTTGGAAAACTGGTCGCTAACGAGAGCTGGTCGCAACCGGGGGTTCCACTGTACGCCAAAATCAAGAGATATCTCTTGACTAAAATACAGTTACGTTATATTTTAGTCATGCTGTGTTATGTTACTGTTGCATTTTTTCCAGTACAATAACAATTTTTTTTTGTACTTAGAAACGCACTTTTTGTCCTCCACGGACAATTTCGGGTACACAGTTCATAGCCGGATTCAATATATATCACTTTTCAGGTCACATTTATTACTCCTCGACTATATACATTTTTAATTATCTGGACAGTGTTATGCGTGTAAATCAAATTGTCGTTTCCTCATATAAATCATTATTTTTCAAGTATTAAATTATTCTTGCTTATACAGCTATGAGTCTCTTTACCGTCCTTGATAAACAACTCTCTCCGTGGACGGCCTATGTTTGCTGAAGATCGACGCTTTGCGATCGAAAAAAAACAATATTAGGAAATGTGATTTTACTTAAGCAATTTCCAAACAAACTTTTAAATCCATTTCGAAACTTTTGGTTAAAGGTAAGATAAACGTATGGATTGAGCCCACTGTAGGCAAATGCTATTAGAAAAAGCAATAAAAATATAAGATCTGACTCATCTTGTTCATAATCAAAATGGTAGAGGCTACTTCCTACAAAAAAGGGAAAGAAACACAGCATATATAAAATCACAACAGTTATCATCATCCGGGTAACTTTTCTGGCTGTTTTCATGGCTTCAGCTTGTCTTTGATTCTGATTGGTTCCTTCTCCTGGTACCTCACGTGACCAAAGTTTGTGACAAACAATGATGTAAAGAACTGCTGTTATGAAAAGAGGCAGGACAACATTCAAAGAAACAGTCAAAAGATAAAATGCTATCTGTTTTTGTAGTAAATTAATTGTATCGCAAAAATAGTCTTGTTTGCTTTTTTGCAAGCTTCCTCTGACGGAGACTTCTATGGAACAAACAACGGACCAACTCCACGATATTAGGATTATCTTTTTAAAATGTCGAGATAAAGGCGAGGACCGGAAAGGTCGAATAACAGCGTAAAAGCGATCAACAGCAGTGGTCGGGAGAATCCAAATTGTAAAGATGGCCGGAATAAACATGTTTGCTAGAAATAACTTGCAAGTGATCAGACCTACAATGCCTCCGAACCAGCGCCCTCCCATAAGATAAAATAAAATATGTAGAGATTCCATTAATGTTCTGTAGAGATCAGCGCAGGCTTGATTCAAAATCAAATAATTGATTGTGGTCTTCATGGAGTTATCTGTTCGTATAATGTGAATGATAACTGAGTTGCCGAATATTGACGCGGTAAATAAAACGACGTACGCAGTAGATATCAGACCCGGTACTAGCTGGATACCTGCTGCCGCCGCAGCACGAGTCTCATTCCCTGTAAATAACAAGATTGAAAAATGTCAGTGATATTCGCTGAAATATGACTTAGTGGCTGAATTAATTATGGTGAGTATGATGCTAAACGCTACGGAAACCTGGACACAATTTATGCAAAATTTATTTTCGGCATCTATAGCTCAAGACTTGAAACATGGACTACCGCGTCCTTTTTCATGGACCGACATTTAGTAACATCGAACACGGCACTGACGAAAGTTTACCTAGCATGTAAGTGAACACTAAATCGAGAGTAATTATAAACACTAAATTATTACCTGTACATGGAATATCACTACTTCTGTCAAGATCAGGTTGCATGTCGAGGCCACTGCAATTTGTACCAGACGTCAACTTCATCTCACTCACAAGAAGCTCTTTACATATTATCTATAATTAAAAATCAGGCCAGGTTTAAAACTTTTCTATAATCGAAAACCTCACCTTTGAGCATCCAAGCTGAACATCACAACATGATCACAGCTGGAAAGCGCGCCCAAGCATAACTCAATTTCTTTAAAGGTGTACTTGGTAAGGTAAGATTACTGCAAACATTTGCGAGGAAACAGAATGATTTCGTTTACTGCTTGTTTTAATGAAACTGACCAGTTCTTAATTACTTTGCCTGATCCTTTGTTAGCTACAACTTCCTGCATGGCCCTATAAAACATTTATTTCTCACTGTTTTTGGATATCTTTATATCGACTTACATTATTTTATCCTTGATTTTCTTTGTTCTTGCTCAATGCTTGACTTTCGACCGGCTAAAAAACTACATGGCGTGTAATTTGGTTTCTCGTTTTTGCCGTTTTTTCGTATCTATCATTCAACCATCCTTGACGCATAAGGTCTCAAATTCCATTTATCAGTACTGTATATTGTACTACAACTGTCAGTGAGAGATAATATTTTTCCATTTGATTTAGAGGTTTTCGTAATGAAACTTGTTGGCTCCGTTGTTTTGATAGACATCTAGTCATTTGAACGTCTTGAAAGAGTCATTGTTTGACTTTCTTAAATCCAATATTAAAATAAAAATATTAATAAAAGCAGGTGTTTTATGAGGATGGACTTGTCACATTCATAGCCGAAGGAGATTTCACACCCAATCGAGTTCGTACCAAGATGTCAAGCGAGTTTCGCCACAGCATTCACTTCACGCTTAAACGTGAAATAATCAGTGTTTTCACTTTTAAGAGTAGTTATTTTAATTTTGGTATATGGTGGACTGTAATTTTTTTGAATTTAAATTAAGCTTACTTCTTGATAGACTCACACAGAGAAGGGAGCGAACTCCGGCGGTCAACCCCTCAAAAATGTGTGGTGCAAACTTGGTTGGTGCGAAGTCGATTGGGTGCTCGATAAAACTCGATCAGTGAAATCGAGTACGTTGTAATTTCATATAATTTATAATATGATTAATTGCTTTTTTTACAGAAATTAAAATTTCCCCGGAGTAGTGAAAAAAAAACACCCCCCCACCAAAAAAAAAACTGGTTCAATTCCACCTGTTAACACCCCCCTCCCCTTCCCTTCCCCCCTCGGGCATATCCTCAGGATTTGCCTTTTTTTCTTATTTAGCGGGCTATTAATCTGATCTCGTAAAGAAATTATTTGATGTCCTTTCTGTGTGTGAAAAGGGGCTATTAAATTTTAATTCATACCCTGTTTCGTGCTTCTTGCAAAGGCAAAAGAATGGTAAACCAGAAACTGCAGAAGACCGCCTACGAAAAACGCTGCCATTGTAGGACATACGGTTGCTGACGAGTCCCAATAAGGACGAAACAGCTGTCCACTGTTGCGATCTTGCTTTATCAGTTATTGTCATGTTGGTGTCTCGAAACGTCTTTCACGTAGTATCAGTCCTGCAGTCTATTGTTTTCCAAAAGAATGGTACATGTCTTCTTCTTCAGGGCACTCCTTTACTTCCATTTGCTCACTCTTGGAGATAAAATCTGGTAAAAGAGAGGACCCCGTCATCATAAAAGGCAGGCATTTTATAGAAAACTTATAACATTTGCCACAAGAGAACATTTTAAAGAAGCCTTCTTAACACATAAATTGTAGCTACCTTGACATAGAGGATGAGGACAGTTCTTCAACCCACAATATCTTAGCATAAAAATTTAATTGGATGGAGGACTGGAATCCATGTAAACTTCTCTGAAGACTTTGAAGAATTTGAAGAATTTGTAAAAAGGAGTTCCATTTACAGTAGACGGGATGAACAGGTTTGAGGGCGCCCTGGCAAGACATCAATTTTGTAGTTCCACTCTATTTTGAAAACTGTCTCCGCTGCATCTTGTTGTGATAAGGGTTACTTTTGTTGGTAAAGAAATGTGCCTCTTATGCTAACTTATACAAATGAACCTTGTTGGTAGCAGAATTAACAATAGTTGCAACACCCTGATTATCGGTGTACCATTTAACATAATTTCCCTTGAGCAAATGAGAAAAACCTAGTAGAGCATGTTTGACACACAAGCTCTCTCCACGTTGAACTTTGTCTCATTTCAATAGCATCCCAATTCTTGTGCGAAACAGGTTTGCTGTTCATGGAGATAAAGGCAGCAAACCAACAGCACTAGCATCAAAAAACACCATGCGAGAGGGCAAAACAGGCTTCCTCCATAGTGGTCTGCAATTTAAACTCCGTAAATGCTCGCGCTAAAATTTAAGTTTTACCTGGACGTCAGCGTCTAAGACAAGCTGCGCATCTCAACCCCTTCTGCATTCAATTAAGCGGTGCAAGGACTTTGTCATGAGCTTACAAACATTACCCATGATCAAAAAATTAGATATAATTCTCCCTGTAACACGAGCAAGTATCCTTACAGAAACGCAACAGGACATAATTTCAACAAATTTCTCAAGGATCCCTAAGATTTTCTCCGGTGGTATAAACATACAGTTATTTTTGAAATTCCAAAAAATACCCAGCCAACAAATGACCTGAAGGTTAACCCACTGACACTTATCTTTGTTAGCAACAAACCCAGACTTGAAAAGATCCTACCTAACAAGGAAAGAATTCGCTTCGCATTTGGACAAAATGGTAGAGCCTACTTCCTACAAAAAAGAGGAAGACAAACAGCACATATAAACGGAAGTGTAGCAGCTCTCGTAAGCTTGTAATTCTCTTCATTGTTAGCAGCTGTTATTGTTTTAGAGCTAGGGACATTGTTTCTGTTGTTTGTTCTATTGTTCTCTCGAATGGTAGCAAGTCACTCATGTGAGACCTTACGAGACCTGCTACATCACCCTATATAAAACCACAACTTTTATTATCATCCGGGTAACTTTTCTCGCTGTTTTCATGGTTTCATCTTGTCTTTTATTACCGGGCAGAATGGCGAGTTGGCCCAGTGCCCGAACTGACCGCAGGTGAAACATTTGTCGGAGGTTTGCGGCTGTCGAGAACTTCTAAAAGAGTGTAGCCGAAAGGAATGTTGAGGATTTTGCTGATGGCGAAACTCCTGAGAACTAGAGCAATTAGAAGCCCAACGCATCCGCACAAATGAAGCGTGCATTCCTTAACGCGAGAAAATACATTTAATGAGTCTAAATTATTTTTTTAACAAAATTCTGACAGTTAGAGGAGGTTGCATACACTCAGTGGCTATTGGATGGTATTAAACCAAACTTATTGCAAGTTTGTCACAGAGGCAACAGCCCCTTTCAAGTGGCAGAGCTAATCTTCACGTGGCCAGATCTGTAATGAAAGACAATTTTATAAACATTCCATCGCACTCCCCCGTGAAAAACTTGTCGAATAAACAACACACCAAGCCCACGCAAGTGCAAAATTTTCTTTTCAACGTAAATGTCGAGACAAAGCGATGATTACGAAGGTCGAGTGACACCATGATAGCGTTCAACACCAATTGTCCGGAGGAACGTTTGAAAAGACAGGTCAAATAAAGACGAAAAATGTTTGAACTTGCAGGTGGGAAGACCTCCTTTTCCTGTAAACCACAGTTTGCAGTGTAAAGCAATAATGGAAAACATTCATTACCAGCATTAAAGTAATCCAAGCACAAGCTTGATTTAAGGTATTTGATTTGAGAGGCAGTAGCAAGGAATGATAAATATTTGAGATACATCCATTCATAAAATTGTCACTCGCTGATTCCCTTCTTGTGTGTTGTTATTGAAAGATCATTTTGTTACCGCCTTTGCAGGTAAGCGTATAAATAAGAAGTAAGTAACACTTACTTAAAGTGACTGACTCTTAGCTACATAGAAAACTACTTTACAGGTCTAGTCACAGCATAAATAAGAAACTAAAATAAATTACAATGAATAATATTAAAAATGCATAATTACTTAGTGCTAAAATCGATAAACTATAAAAATACATATATACAAATAATTAAACAAAGACAAATCATAAAACATATAGGTGCAGCGGCTGGCCAGGTATACCTTAAGTATACTTTTCTTGAACAATTTAAAGTTACTTATTTTCTTGTATCCGTTTGGTAGTGCGTTCCATGGCTTGGCCCCTTGATATCTTATCAATTTCAATCCATACTTGGTTATATTTACTTCCGGCAATGTCGGAATTGCATCTCCTCGTAGATTATAATGACTTCTCTTAGCGTATGTTACAGTTACCTTATATTTTAGCCATGCGTTGTTATATTTCTGTAGTATTTTTCCAACGAAACCAGATGTCGTTCTATACTCAAGTAAACCTGGCAAAGCCGCACACTGTAGCACTATCTATGTAATCGTATTATTACGTACGAGATGGCCTCAGCTAAAAGCCTGGTGATTTCTAGAGGTCACCTCGCCATACATTGAAACATATATAAATAATTACTATATTAGGTAAAAAGGCAAATAAACAGAATGAATGAATAAGCGCATTCTCCTCAATGGCGCTTTTCGGGTTAACATAGAAGTCATAGATAAATATATATTTCAAAGTCAAATTTGTTACTCCTTAGCTTAAGACCAAGGACTGTATATATTATATCTTGCAATCAAACTGTCGTTTTCTCATATAAATAGCTATAGTTCAAGTATTAAATTATTCTTGCTTACAGCCATGAGTCTCTTTACCTTCCTTGGTAAACAATTCTCTCCGTGGACGGCCTATGTTTGCTGAATATCGACGCTTTGGGATCGAAACTGAACAATATTATGAAATTTGATTTTACGTAAGCAATTTCCAAACAAAGTTTTAAATCCATTTCGAAACTTCTGGTTAAAGGTAAGATAAATGTATGGATTGAGTCCACTATAAGCAAATGCTACTAGAAAAAGACATAAAAACAGAATAGTTGGCTCCAACTCATCTTTTGGAACATCAAAATGGTAGAGGCCATTTCCTACAAAAAAGGGAAGGAAACACAGCACATATAAAACCACAACAGTTATCATCATACGGGTAACTTTTCTGGCTGTTTTCATGGCTTCAGCTTGTCTTTGATTCTGATTGGTTCCTTCTCCTGGTACCTCACGTGACCAAAGTTTGTGACAAACAATGATGTAAAGAACCGCTGTTATGAAAAGAGGCAGGACAACATTCAAAGAAACAGTCAAAATATAAAATGTTATCCATTTTTGTACGGTATAAACTACATCACAAACATAGTCATGTTTGGTTTTGTGCAAGCTTCCTCTAATGGAGACTTCTATGGAACAAACAACGGACCAACTCCACAATATTAGGATTATCTTTTTAAAATGTCGAGATAAAGGCGAGGACCGGAAAGGTCGAATAACAGCGTAAAAGCGATCAACAGCAATGGTTGGGAGAATCCAAATTGTAAAGATGGTCGGAATAAACAAGCTCGCTAGAAATAACTTGCAAGTGATCAGACCTACAATGCCTTCTAACCAGCGTTTTCTGACAAGATGAGATGAAATATTTAGTGATTCCATCAATGTTCTGTAGAGATCAGCGCAGGCTTGATTCAAAATCAAATAATTGGTAGTGTTCTTCATGGAGTTATCTGTTCGTATAATGTGAATGATAACTGAATTGCCGAATAATGACGCGGCAAATACAATGACGTACGCAGCAGTTATCAGACCATGTATAAGATGGATATCTGTTTCCTCCGGAGCACTGTTCTCATTCCCTGTAAATAACAATATTGAAAAATATCCGTGATATACGCTGAAATATGACTGACAGACGTGGTTAATTATAGTGAATATGATGCTAAATGCTACGGAAACCGGGATAAACGCAGCAGTAAGGGACTCAATTTATGCAAAAACTATTTTCGGCATCTATAGCCAAAGCCTGAAACATTGACTATACCGCGTCCCTTTTCAAGGACCGACATTTCGTAACATCGCACACGGCATTGACGAAAGTTAACTTAAGAAATACATACTGCTTTAACGTAACATGTAGGAATGACTAAGTGAACACTAAATCGAGAGAAATTATAAACACTAAATTATTACCTGTACATGGAATATCACTTCTTCTGTTAAGATCAGGTTGCATGTCGAGGCCACTGCAATTTGTACTACTCTTCAACTTCATCTCACTCACAAGAAGCTCTTTATATGTTTTCTATAATTAAAAATCAGGCCAGGTTTAAAACTTTTTTTCAATCGAAAACCTCGTCTTTGGACATCCAAGCTGAACATCACAACTTGCTCAGAGCTGAACAGCGCGCCCAAGCATGACTCAATTTATTTAAAGGTGTACTTGGCGAGGTAAGATTATTAAAAACTTTTGGGAGGAAACAGAATGATTACGTTTACGGCTTGTTTTAATGAAACTGACCGGTTGTTAATGACTTTTTCCTTGATTCACTGTAGGCGCGCCCTACTAAAGCTGTTTAATAGTAAAATCGTGCGAAGGAAGCCTTTTTTATGCTTTAGCTACAACTTCCTGCAAGGCCTTATCAAACATTTACTTGGCACTGTTTTTGGATATCTCTGTAACAACTTACATTATTTTATCCTTGATCTTCTATGTTGTTACTCAATGCTTGATCTTCGCCTCACCAAAAGACTGCATTGGGTCTATAATTTGGTTTCTCGTTTTTGCCGTTTTTTTCGTATCTATTATCCATCCATCCTTGACGCAAAACACCTAAGCTTCAATTATCAATGACCAATGGAGAGTGGTTTGAGAGACCAAATATCGGGCTTTAATTTTTATCAGTACTGTATATTGTACTACAACTGTTAGTAAGAGATAATATTTTCCATTTGATTTAGAAGTTTTCTCAATGAAACCTGTTGGCTCCTTTATTTTGATGGACATAGTCATTTGAAGGTCAGGAAAGAGTCGTTGTTTTACTTTCTTAAATCCAATATTAAAGAAAAAAACATTAATTAAAAGCAGGTGTTTTATGGGGATGGCCTTGTCAAATTCATAGCCCAAGGAGATTTCACACCCAATGGAGTTCGTACCAAGATGTTGAGCAAGTTTGGCCACGGCATTCACTTCACGCTCAAAAGTGAAATAATCA